GAGAGGAGGTTGAGGGGGGGGGGTGTCGGTCGCTGAAAGGAAGAGAATACCGATAAATCAATCTGTCCATGGGAGGAGTGCCTCTCATACATGCTTCGGTTGACCTTGATAGATAGATTCCTTCCTTTCACTTCCAATAGATCACTTGAAGGCAAGCCCCGGGATGAAATGGGTGATAATAGCGCTTCGTAATGATGGCTGAGTGAGAAGGGAAGCTAGAGAAATCTTCGGGATGCGCTGAAATTAAGGCCTTAACCTTCAAAAAGGTCGGATGTGGAACGATGGCGAGGCAGGGCGGTCAAAGAAGACAAAACACGCGAGAGAGCACGCCGATATCGAGGTGGGTGGGAAGCGTTGCAACGGGGGTCGATGGTTGCAGGCCCGTAAGGATTAGCGCCCTAACCGCGCAACTTTTGCGGCGAAGCTGGAGTGATCTAGGTAGGTGGGACCTTACAATTTCCTTGCGGTCCTTTCCTACAAGTCAGGCTAATGCCGGGGTTTCCCTTTGATAAGCGCGCCGTTTGGGCCCCATGTGGGCCCCTCTAACATTTTTTTCGAAATGGAAACCAGATGTCGAAGAGTCCGAGAAGCCACGAATTGAATTCGAAAGTAGAAATTCTCCGAGGGCCACCTGAATACAGTTTTGTTTAAGGGCTTCTTCTCACTGCGAAATTATTATTCAGGTCATCAGACAGCTGAATGCAAAATACATGAATTCGACAGAAGAACTGCTCACGACACCGGCCACATTCTAAATAGGCTAGCGCTCTCAATTGTATCTATTGATTCTGAATAAATGTCATAAAAATCGTGTCGTCACACACTACAGGTTTCTCGCAGTACTGCGAAAAACTTGCCCAGACCTCGTTGGGCGTAACTTCGAACAAAAATATCCGGCTCTGGGTAAACAATCAAGGCCGTTTATGAAAATGTATTTGAAAATTACCTCAAAACAATCGAAAGTATCCTGGAAGTGTCTAAACTATGTTTCTTCGACAAGCGTGTAAAGGTCGAGATATCCTTTGCCGTGGACGGACTCTTAAGATCGAATCGAAAGCCCTCTAATAACGATATAAAAACTGAGGGAAAGGGTTCAGAAGACAGTAGTGGATGTTATCACGAGGTCCGGTTCTTCAGGTCTTAATAGTTCTTCATTTCATATTTTCAGTATTAATAACATTGGTGCTGTGCTCATCCGACGAGGATCAGCTGGTGACGGATCTATTCAACGGCTACAATTCACTCATTCGACCAGTACCGAACGCCTCTTCACCACCGATAGAGGTTCCCATTTTTTCTTTCCTTCGAGCTCGCGAGTATGATTGAGCACTAAGCAGGGTCAAGCGTCGCGTGTTTCCAGGAATTTGTGCCGCTTTTTTACGACGGAATTTCGATGCGATCTTCTCACTACCACTTCAGCTTCAACCCACTCGCCATACTGTTTCTTACGGATTTTGGCTCGACCATATTTGCTATTTCTGAAACCAGTCCACACAGCCAAACTTCGCCCACTTTTTTCTCTGAAACGGCCGTTGTGGGATGGGGTAGGCCAATTTGTACAACGAATCCTGTTTTGCATAATTCACGCTGCTTTCAAACTTTTGCCGAAATCGTCGAAAACCCCATCAAAAACGACCCACTCTCCCTCTCCAACACCCCTTCAGCTTCCAAAAATACGATCCCCCATCGTACGTTCCCAAAGATAGCTTGACATTGCAACTCCGAACGCGACTCCTCCCCTCCATCTCCCCCCCCCTTCAAACCGCAAATCTACCTCCTCATTCGAATAGTGCGAATGGACGGCTGACCGTGGCCACGAAGGCGTACATTTCACAGGCTGCAATACTACACATGGCTTCTTCTCGTCAGCTCTGCTGTGGGAAGTTATTTTCCGATTTTGGCTTGACTGGGGCCGTATTTGGCCGCTACAAGTTGCCCATATTATAGGAATAGATGTCCAAGACGTCATTCTCGGGACTTTCATCAGGAATCCCATTGAGAGTTTCAACGACATAGCCTGGTTTTTACGGTTTCCATAATTGTATATAATCACCCTCTAGCCGCGTACTCTTCGTTGATTTCACCATATGCTTTAGTATTGACATGGAAAAGAGGATAGAGAGGTACCCTTGTTCTCGCCTTCAAATGACCAGAAATTGTGCAATTGCAGAAATTGACGTGGCATTAACGTGGCATCGATTCAAGAACATCTTTGAGCACACGTGATGTGATGTCACCTTTTCATCGAGAATTTAGCCACGTGTGCCAATGCCACGTCAATTTCTGCAATTGCACAATTTCTGGTCATTTGAAGGCGAGGGTAGATGATGTTGGTGATTCATTGGGTTCTGGGGCAAAGTTTGGAAAAAATAGCTCGTCGTACTCCTAGCCGACTAAGCTGCTTTGTTAAAGGTGGCGTTCAGTTTGGCATTGGTGCTGCTTATAAACATCGATGAGAAAAATCAGATCATGCATACAAACGTCTGGCCAACAATGGTAAGCTACCAAGTGTTTGCTTATTCAGTCATTTATTTGTTTACTTATTTAGTTTCAATTACATATAGTAATTGCACATGATCTATAAAATTTATTGATCAATGTTTTTCTAGCGTTGGAAAGACTATCAAATGCGCTGGGATCCGAGATTCTACGGAAACATCGGTAGGTGCCCCCTTTTCAAAACGAGAAGTGCGTCGGGTGCAGACCATACACCACAAGTGACGACGGCCTCCAAGTAAATCTGGTTCATAGTGATAGCTGATTTTTGGTAAATGATAGTTGTAATTAGTGACAACTGATAGAATACAACTGCAACAGGCTAATCATTTCATTGGCAGAAAACATTTACATTTTGTGGAGGCCGTCGTCACTTGTGGTGTATGGTCTGCACCCGACGCTCTTCTCGCTTTTTGAAAGAGGAGGGTAGCTCTATGTTGCTACTGTGTACCGTTAGTAAATAAAAAAAGGATATAAGAAGGAGGTTAAGGATCAGAAGAACGAAATACTAAGAAAATGAAATTCAGAAACAATACGAGTTCCTCCCGACAAAGTCTGGCTTCCGGATATTGTGCTGTTCAACAAGTAAGTTATGAAATGTCATTCCTAAGGATATTGATTTTTGACTTGTTTCGATTGTTAAACTGCTAGTTCGATTAACATTCCGGGTAGAGAACTGCTCCAGTGGAAGTCGAACCTGCTAGCAAAAGTACCAAGGGGGGTCGTATTTTGCTGAGTTTTTAGGTGGGGTGTATTCGATGTTAGAAATCATTGGTGAGTTTAGGGTGCGTGTGAAGGAGAGGGAACGTGAACTGTGAACCCTGCTCCCCCGAACGACGGCTATTTTAGAGAGAAAAGTGGGTGGAGTTAAGTGTGTCGACTGGTCTCAGAATTAAATATTATAGAAACAGCGACCATGATGGCGAGGGTGGTGAGGGGGGTCGTGAAATTTTTGATTAGAAGGGGTTCGTAAAAAAATTTCCCGAAAAGTCGTAACGGTAGGACCGACCCTGAGTCGAACCCAGACCTCTTGTTTACATCGGCTGTGTAATCGATAGCACAATTACCTGCAAAGCGGTCGGTTTGACAATTCGGCGACTGCTTTGCTCCTAGTCAAGCTCCCTTGAAACCATATTCCTCGGACTTTTTTTGCAGAGGTTCATGTGCAAGTGGTTACATTGATTCCCATATAGCTTAATGGTCGAGTGTACAAAACTGTTGGAAGTCACCGCGCGGTGACCGCGGCGTCACGTGCAGCTCTGCGTTTGTTCTGAAGGAAATTATTACCTACCGTGTTCGTGCTCATTCGCACGTCTAGCGCACCCTTCCTCATCTACTTGACTTGCTATCTTCTTCCAGTTGCAAACAAGTATTGAATAGCAATACACTATTGTACACCATGCAATACACCATACACTCCTATAATCCAGCAATTCTTCACGTGAGCCAGTTATTATTTATTGGTTTTTTTTTATTTGTTTTTCTTGTTTTTTTTGAATTTTCCATACCACTTTCCCAAATTCAATCACGAAGATGCGCAGTGGAAGGGCAAACGTGTAAGAACACTTTTCATCAAACCAAAACAAGCCCAAACAACACAGTCACGAAGTCCAACGGCCACTTGATAGATTTGAAGCTTTTCCCAGTTGGTTTTCTTCTCCCTGATTGCTCTATAAGCTCTGAATTTTCTATATGGTAGGCCCAAAGTTACTAATAGGAGAGATACAAGAAATGGAAAAGGACTTCAAATTTTGTGGTATGCGCCTTACGAGTGGTTTTAATTTTCCTGTTTTAGCGCTGATGGCAATTACTTGGTGTCGTTCTACTCAAATGTCGTCGTTGAACACACCGGAGAAATGCTGTGGGTCCCACCAGCGGTTTATAAATCGAGCTGCATAATCGATGTTGAATATTTTCCGTTTGACGGTAGGCTGGATAATTTTGTATAATCGATTGATCATTTTAAGCTTTACCTTTATTTTAAGAACAAGTCTGTGCGCTGACGTTTGGCTCATGGACCTTCAAAAAAGAGGAGGTGCAGATTTCATATTTGATGGGAAAGAAACAGGTAAAAGCTACTCTCCTGAAGAAGTTTCCAATTATGATTTGATAGCAGATAATTCAAGTAACTACAGTACTTTCAATTCCCTGGATATGGGAAATGCACGGATTTACAGGCGTCTTCCTGCAGTCATTTGAGGGGCAATTCTCCTTGGGAAGTTTATGGTTTTGGTGAACCCCTGACTCATGG